AGTACTCACATTACTCCCTGCACCTTGTGTGCAGATTCAGGTATGTTTTGGCTGATTGGAGGCGGAGTCATCAGGGTTTAGCAAGGTAGCTGTCGGCGTTCGCCACACTGCTTTTCTCTCTCCTCATTTCATTAGTCTGTATTTGTACACTCCAGGCTTTCAGTTGTATTTATACCCTAGTAGATGCTCGTGACTTGTGACACCCCGGTTAGGGCTGTGTTGGGTTGTGCTTCCGTTAATTATATCATTAAATCATAATTAAACTGTTTATTAATGTTTAACTATTTTTTAAAAGGTGATATGGGTTTGTTAGCTGGCCTTGTCTTCACGAGAGGCGCCATCACGACCGGAGCGGGGTTTGGGTCGTGACACTAACTCAGGGCAAAATTCAACCATCTCCAACAGCCAAAGAAGCTAAAGATGTACATTTTGAAAGGAATATTATCGTTAATGAATAAGATTTACTATTTCCATATAAACTAAACATTAAACAAAGAAGAGCTTACAATGTAATTCTTGATAGAATATTCTCCAATAAACTCGGAGCATTCTTCATTGATGGTCCGGGTGAAACTGGAAATAGCTTTTAATATCGTGCCTTATTAGCTATAGTGAGACACAGAGGATTTATAGCATTAGCGACTGCGAGTTCAGGTGTTGCTGCTTCACTTCTTCCTGGAGGCCGAACTGCTCATTCCCGATTTAAAATACCTATTGATGTTGATGGAAATTTTAGTTGCAATATTAGCAAACAAAATTCACTGGCATTGTTGATTCGAGATGCAAAACTAATAGTATGAGACAAAATTTCAATGGCGAAAAAAGAAATGGTTGAAGCACTAGATTTGCTCCTTAGAGATTTAATGGAAACAACTATGTTGTTCGGCGGAAAGGTTGTTGTATTCAGTGGCGATTTTAGACAAACTCTTCTCGTTGTCCGTGGTGGACAAAGGGAAGATTTTGTTCATGAAAGCTTACTATGTTCTGAAATTTGGCATCAACTTGAAAAATTACAATTATCCGAAAATATGCATGCAAAAACAGACCCAGCTTTTTGTGAAAATTTGATGAGAATTGATAATGGAAAAGAAAGAAAAAAATAATAAGAACAAAATAGAAATTCTCCGTCCTCTGATCATACCTTTCACCAATGAAAAAAGATTCCTTGAATCATCTATTTAAAGTTACTTATTCTGATTTATATCTAACTCATTCAAATATATTTTTTATTACTTCTCGCGCAATTCTAACTACGAAGAACGACTTCGCTGATGAAATAAATGATATGCTAATTGTTCAATTTCCAGCTGATGAAAAAGTCTAATTAGCTACCGATGAAACAATTGATCCAAAAGATCAAAGTGAATATGAAGATTTTTTGCACACTTTAAATCCTCCTGGTTTACCTCCTTATAGATTCTGTCTAAAGAAAAATTGTCCGATTATATTATTAAGAAATTTGAATCCATGCGAAGGTTTGTGCAATGAGACACGATTAATATGTAATGATTTCAAATCTCATGTTATTAGTGCTACAATATCCAGTGGTAATTTTAAAAATACACATGTATTCATTCCGCGAATACTACTATTGACATCAGAAGACGAAAAACTACCTCTTTAATTTAAAAGAACACAATTTCCAATACGGTTATGTTTCGCCATAACTATAAATAAAGCTCAAAGCCAAACATTAGATTTTGTTGGCATTTATTTGGGAGAACCTGTATTTTCTCATGGTCAGTTGTACGTTGCTTTATCAAGATCTAAAGGTTCTAACTGTGTCAAGATATTAATTAGACCGGCTATAGCTGACGATGATGATGATCACTCCACATATAATGTAGTTTATGATGAAATTATCGAAAAAGCTTTTCCTATAACTTAGACCATCATTCTTAATAGTAAGTGTGACGTACAACTTGTTCACGCTTTGAATTCTTTGATTTTGTATTATAATCATTCTAACAATCTTACGTTTGCGCATTATTATATTGTGATGTGTTATAATTGCAGATTGCGTCTAGATGGCAGAAAGATTCAACATCAATGTGATTACTCCAGAAACAGAAGAATGGACCTGCAAGATACAAGTAGTTGATAAAGGCAGACCTAGAGACAACAGAGAGAAAACAAAAAAGTATCAACTGATGGTTTTGCAAGATGAAGAGGTAATCTTTAAAGGATTCATAAGTTTGCCAATAGTAATTAAGTTAATATTATCCTAATTGTGTCTTATTTTGTTACAGGAAAATCAAGTGGAATGCATTATATTCAATGCGGAGATAATGCATTTTGAAGATCTGTTTCGCCCTTTCCATACTTACTTGGTGTCAGTTGCACAAGTCAAAGAATCAAACTATATGTACGGAAATCCACTTAACAAATTTACATGGATAATTCATAGGTGTACCATTGTTGAGCCAATAGAAACTGTTAATCCTCCAGAAGATCCACTACCTCCGCCAACGCGCCTAAATCTTACACCATTTGGCAACTTCGAATATCAACCCGAGGGATCTGAATTCGGTAATTGAAGATTTAACTATTTATGTTGTTTGTTTGCCTAAAATTCACATTTATTAGTATTGTTATTATTACGATTATTGTCTATATTAATTTTTATTGTCTATTAGCTTATTCGTCGTTCTTTTTAAACGCAAGATGTGCTTGCTATCGTGCTCAACGCAAGCCCCTCAACCTATGCTTCAAATGGGCGGAGAATTCAAGATTTTATCATCACGGATGATCAGTAAGTATACATAAACCGATTTTATTGGATTCAACTAGTAACTGATGATTCAAGTATGATGTAATGTGTCACTTTTCGTATATTGTCTAGCAATAGCACATAATAAATGAAACCGAAATTCAAGTTGAGGTTGTACCCTTTAAAAGGCTGCTTTTCATGCTTCAATTCAACTTTGGCTTTGCTGTAATTATAATCTTTCAAAGCATACTTAGATCTACTACGCATTACTGGAATTATTATGGTTTAAGCTTATTACTACTAATAATATTTGATCATATCTTTAAATATATTCTCAACAATGCAAAGTTCTTATCTTGCTATAAGAATCTAGGTAAAATTAGGATTGATATCATATTGTGCTTTTGATTTTGTAAATTTTAATTTGGCTCAGCTTTTTTGCAACTAATTTATGCTTTTAATAATTAACTTCAAACTTTCAATTTATTTTGATTTATGTAACCACAATTTTGGGATAGCTGCATGGAGTGATGATGTTTGGTGGTTAAAAGTACACATCAATCCAAGAGTCTAAAAAGCATATCATTGGCCTTTAACATTTTAAAAATCTTTATTTGTTCTTCAATAAAGTTAGAAGCAATGATCCAGACAAGAAAATTTTAGTTATGGCAAAATCACAAATTAGGAAGAATCATTAAAAGCTAACTTAAAAATTATTTAGTATTATATGGGCCAAAGAATTAGATTGTTGCTAAGAGTTATTAAGAGAAAAACATAATGCCTTCAAATATAGAAATATAACATAATTAAATTTGTAGTTTCTTCTTTTTCTCCTTTTTAATTTACCCGTAGTTGTTCTTTAATAAAGGTAGTGTCTCAAAAATTATGATTATATTTAATCTTTTTTACCTACTATTAACTCATCCAGGTTTGCTAAAAAAATCGATCCTTTTGATGTCATGTTTAGCTATTGGATTTTAAATCAAATTATATTTCAAAAATATACTTTTTTCATTCAATACTTTGGATTAAGATTGACCAAAATATTCAAGTGATTAGAACGCTGAATAAAGAAGAGCGACTTTGTCCCCTCTAATTTTATATGTTTCTGAACAAATAGATAACTTATCTCAAATTATAGCCAATATAATCTCCCTCTTATTAGGAATTTGAGACATAGTAGTTCTTGCACAAATTATATAAAATGGATGAATCTTATATGTACTAGATTTTAATTAAAAGAAATTAGAGTTAAACATTTGAATGTCTTTGAAGAAAAGCTAAGATTATAGAAATTCTATTCAAAATATTTATGCGGTTGTGGATTCCTAAGTACTAAAACTTTGTATATCACAAACGTGCTTACAAACTATTGTATTTCAAATGTGTAGATATTACCAATGCTGAAAGATCTAATAGAAGAAAGCCGCATATTAATGTTACGAACATCTCTATTAAATATTCTTGCATTGTATAATACAGTTACATCGCAATATCAGAACTTATTCAAAACATCTTTATGTTGGAACTAACTGGATCATTGCTACAATAAGTTGTAAATTATATCTATTTATCTTTTAGTAAGCATGAAGCAATTCTACCATTTATTTTAGATTTGAGACTTATTGGCTCTTCGAGAACATATGATATTTAAACTATTTTGTTTTAGAAGATTTTGTTAGGGATCAATAGTCAAGACCTTAGGGAATACCTGTTTTCTTCGAAACTAATTACATTATAGATATCACGACCCGGATTTCCCCACCATCGGGAGTCATGATGGCGCCTACTAGTGAAAGCTAGGCAAGCCAACCAACTGAACTATTTACCTTGTTTCTATTTTTAATCCGATAACAGTTAAGAGCCAACAATTAGATAACAACAGAATTGAATAAGCGGAAGGCTGCATTGTAAAGTTTTAATAATACTGCTAATATCAATCCATAATAAATCTACCCAAGACTGGTGTCACAACTTCACAGACTATGTAGGAGTACTATAAATAAAGGTCTGAAAGAAATAAATACAACATTGTCTCTGAAAATACATGAAGAAAACAGGAATAGTAGATAGAAGGAGACGCCAAGGCCTGCAGACGCCTGTAGGACTACCTCGGGTCGCCTGATGAACAAGAAATAGCAAATCTCACTGTGGTCTAAAGTCTACAGCACTGGGATATGTACAAAAGAGTACAGAGTGTAGTATCAGCACAACCGACCCCATGTGCTGATAAGTGCCTAGCCTAACCTCGGCGAAGTAGTGACGAGGCTAGGACCAGACTACCAAATAAACATGTACAATATAGCATACAAAAATAATAGGAATCAGATAACAATGATGGCAACAATGATCATCCAGTGATATAAGCAGCAGGCAACAAAAACACCATAAATATTGCTCCACGAATGATCTATACAAGTGCAATCAATTACTCAAGTCCTTCAACTATAAATATCTTTCAAATATATTTCCTTCAACCAAGCATCTTTCGAATATAATTCTTTCGAGTAAAGGTCACATTGTGACGCCTCATTTCATAATCATAAATAATATATATTTCCCTCGGCACCTTATACCCATAGATTTCTGTCTCACATTGTGCAACAACGTTCTCAGGTTACTCAGTTCATAGAGTCCATAACCCAATACAATTAAGAATGTTCACGGAGCCTCATTTACTTAACAAGAAGTAGGTACAACTACTAAACCCATTTGAAACTCATCAAAAAAAGATGAAGTTATTTTTAGAAATCATTTGAATAAATAAAGTATCATGTTTCAATAAGAATACAACATCGAATAAATTATTACTTTTACCACGGGATTTGATAAATTAACTTAGTAGAAATTCCTTCTTAAGTAAAGTACACCTGCAAACAATTTAAGAAAAATTTAGTTGAGAAATCAATTGAGTTAAAAATGTAACAATTGTTGAAATTTGAAGTATTGAATATATGTAAAACAAATAGGGCGAGGTATTGTCAACACTATGAATTCTCACACAAAGGATCACAGCCGTAAAGGAGTCTAAACAATTAAAATACTTGAATTGATAATAACAATTACAACTGAGACAAAATAATCACGGAAGGAGTACATCTCAACATAGAGATAACAACCGGGGATCTCCCAGGATAACGTCCTGTAGTCCCCAAATATAAATATCCAGTGGATCTCCCGGGTGCAGTCCCGTAGTCCAACTCATATAACTGTGCCGGGGGATCTCCCGGGAATCTAACTCGTAGTCCCAAAGTAAATGTACAGAGGTATCTCCCGGGAATCTAACCCGTAGTCCCAAAGTAAATGTGCAGGGGGGTCTCCCAGAAATCTAACCCGTAGTCCCAAAGTAAATGTACAAGGGCATTTCCCGAAAATCTAACCCGTAGTCCCAAAGTAAATGTGCAGGGGGATCTCCCGGGAATTTAACCCGTAGTCCCAAAGTAAATGTGCAAGGGAATCTCCCGGGAATCTAACCCGTAGTCCCAAAGTAAATGTACAGGGGGATCTCCCAGGAAATCCCCCTGTACATTTACTTTGGGACTACGGGTTAGATTCCCGGGAGATCCCCATGTACATTTACTTTGGGACTACGGGTTAGATTCTCGGGAGATCCCCCTGCATAGTTATATGAGTTGGACTACGGGACTACACCCGGGAGATCCACTGGATATTTGTATTTGGGGACTACAGGACGGTATCCTAGGAGATCCCCGGTTGTTATCTCTATGCTGAGATGTACTCCTTCCGTGATTATTTTGTCTCCGTTATAATTATTTTTATCAATTCAAGTGTTTTAATGGTTTAGATTCCTTTACAGCTGCGATCCTTTGTGTGGGAATTCATAGTGTTGACAATACCTCGCCCTATTTGTTTTATATATATTCAATACTTCAAATTTCAACAATTGTTACATTTTTAACTCAATTGATTTCTCAATTAAATTTTCCTTAAACAGTTTGCGGTTGTACTTTACTTAAGAAGGAATTTCTACTAAGTTAATTTATCAAATCCCGTGGTAAAAGTAATAATTCATTCGACGTTGTATTCTAATTGAAACATGGTACTTTATTTATTCAAATGATTTCTAAAAATAACTTCATCTTTTCTTGATGAGTTTCAAATAGGTTTAGTAGTTGTACCCTACTTCTTGTTAAGTAAATGAGGCTCCGTGAACATTCTTAATTGTATTGGGTTATGGACCCTATGAACTGAGTAACCTGAGAACATTGTTGCGCAATGTGAGACAGAAATCTATGGGTACAAGATGCTGGGGGAAATATATATTATTTATGATTATGAAATGAGGCGTCACAATGTGACCTTTACTCGAAAGAATTATATACAAAAGATGCTTGGTTGAAGGAAATATATTTGAAAGATATTTATAGTTGAAGGACTTGAGTAATTGATTGCACTTGTATACATCATTCATGGAGCAATATTTATGGTGTTTTTGTTGCATGTTGCTTATATCACTGGTGTAATGACCAAACCGATTGTTTTGAGCTCTAGCGCATCGTTCAGTAGTTTGAGGCCATGAGCAGCTTCATTTCATGTATTATGACTTGTACGCGTTGTCAGAATGAAATTCTGGGAAGTTCAGAGTTGATTTGGATAGAGAATTCTCATTTCGTAAGCTTTAAATTGGAAGAATTAACTAAGATTGGATTTCAGAGTAAACGACCTCAAAATCGGGATCTGAAGGTTCCAGCAGGTTCGTATGATGATTTCGGACTTGGGCGTATGCCCGGATCAGGTTTTGGATGACCCGAGAGTGTTTTGGTACCTGTTGTAGAAGTTAGAATTTTGGAAGAAATTTCATAAGTTTGGCTTGAAGTGCATTTTAGTATTATCGACGTCTGTTTGGGATTCCGAGTCTAGGAGTAGCTCCGTATGGTAATTCTGTAGTTGGGAGCGCGATCGGAAGTGAGTTCGAAGGTCCATAGGTCATTTTGGAGTCATTTGGCTAAAGATAAAAAATTAAAGGTTTTTGAGAAGTTTGACCGGAAGTGGACTTTTCGATATCGGGGTCGG